TTTCAATTACAGTATATATCAAGAAACATCCTTTATAATCTTTATTTGTCTAAAAAAAAGTTATTCATCAATGATCTATCTCATTAACACATCATGTTGCCAGTATTTGAAGTCTATATTTTTAGTAAGCAACCTTTAATCTTTATTAGTATCACTGCATTTTCAAATATATTGTATAAACTCTGAGTTTACAAAGTCCTTAAACCTGAAATTTACCAGTGCATGGCATTTAGGTTAATCCTTTCAAAGCTGCAAAAGGAAATACAGGCCTACACAACTCTGCAAGCGTTTCATTGAAGCTTCTCCTTGCTAGCAGCTCTGATACCAGTTTCCCTTCCTGTTTGACTGACAGCTCAATTGCTCATCGCGTGTGAGTGAGCATGGAGCTCGGGGAGGAGCTCACAAAGGTGTGTGCAGGTGATGATTTGCTTAGACGGTAAAGGTACAGTTGCACTGTAAAGTTCCAGCCTAGCACAGCACAGCACAGTTCTACTTCCAGCAACATTTTTCACATTCAGAGCATAGTTTTGTGCAAGGAAAATCAAGGTAAGACATCCCAGGAAATTGCATAACCTGCAAACACAAATAATTAATAAACTAGGCCATTACACTGATTTATGTCTGTTATTTGTGGAGCAATGCACGACCTTGGATGAAAATAATGCCTTTTAGAGCACTTGTGGGCCTTATCATGTTCTGTGAATCAGTGCTGTGAATAGAGGGGACTGCCCAAGGCTATTCTAAAGGTGCCGTGCAGTCACGCACATGTGCTTCATCACAGGGGTGACAACTGAAGGGAAAGCTGCTGACAGCTTCCCTAAACACAGGTCTCCCTCCATCTGCCTGTCATGGATAGGCACAGAAAAGAGCTGCTAAGCTGGTAAATATATAACTGAGGCTTGGTAAATATATAAAGATATTTTATTCCAATCTTGGCATGCCCATGAGAGTTTACAAGTCATGCTTGAATTAAAACATCATCAGATTTATGGTCTAAAGATAAATGTTATCTTTGAGATATTCTCATAAAAATGAACAGATGGATTAGTTATGCTGATTATTAAACCCTGAAAGTAATTCAAAAGGCAGTAACTCATTATGTCACTGGCCAGTTTTCTGTGATTTATAACACAATAGGGGCTTTGGCATCTACAAGGACTAGAACACAATGCAGTTCTTGGAAGTGGACTTGAAAATAACTCCACAGAAACTCTACCTGAGTCAGCACTTTGTTCTGAGTTTTCAGTGCAGCAAGAAAACAGCTTCAAAAGAACAACACTGTTTGCTCAGAGCTGTATGCAAAGTTATTTAAAAGCTGCACAAGTCAATATTTTTGTGTAGACAGTGGATCAGATGAATACTTTGTAAAGTATTCATGTAAAATGACTTAAGCTGCATAAAGCATTTTAACATCATTGTTCTTGCAGTATAACTTCCTGTTACCATTTTGATTCAGTCTTAGCACTTTTACAAACCTTTGAATAGCAACCCGCTAATATAAGTGAAAACGCTCTTAGGAACTGTATATATGCTGAGGCATAGTAAGCAGCTACATCATGAACATAATGAAACATCTTACTGCTAGATATTTCCTCCAAGGAGTTGGTAAAGACCAGCCCAGAGGAAAAAGAAAAAGGAAAATGAATATATATGAGGGATTGAAAAAATGCTCAAAATTAAGGTCAGTATTGCGCTAACTGCTTTTGGTTAGCACTGTTGTTAATGGCATTATTCAATTACATCATTAAAGTTGCTTTTACACATTACTCTACAGCCCCAAAGAGACCAAAAGTATAATCTAAAACATAAAAACTATATTTACAGATTCCTCTAAGGAGCAGATGTTAGCATGTTTTACTAAATAAGCTATATGATCATGCTAACAGCTAAAGGCACAATCACTTTATTTTAATTCTTCCAAATAGCCAAAAGTAAATATAAAGATTTTGATTTAAGTTATTACCAGGTTAATATGTCTAACAACAGTAACAATAAATTCCCAAAATAGTTATAATCTTCTACTATGCTAAGCATTTAGCATTTAGCTGACATTAGCCTCCATAGAACAAAACTGTGAACACTCCATTTCCACAAGTGAATTTCCACATTTATTTTCATATTTATTATTTACTTTTTATATTTTAGAAATCCTTACATAAAGAGCCAACCAGCTACAAGTTGTCATGACACAACAGGATTGGACTTAGTTAAAAAAAAATAAAGGAAAATAAAGAAGAGTGTGTATTGTAA